CTTCTTTATAAAACATTAAAAATCTTACTGTTCAAAAACTGTTGACTGGTAGGTTATATAGATTACAGAAATGTTATATTGTAATGTTTTATATATATATATATATATATTTCTTTTTTTTTTCTTTTTTTTATATATATAACATTTCTGTCCCCCTCACTTCTGAAATGATGGCTACGCCCCTGGATTGTATAACATCGAATGTTTTTCCACCAATGCCAATTTGTAATCATTTGCATAGTAAACCTTCATGCCAAATAGAGTCGAAAGCTTTTTTAAATCAATAAAACATGTAAATATTTCTTTAGATTTTTGTTAATTAGAGTGTGGAGAGAATAGATGTGGTCGGATTTACGTTGTTTTGCTAAAAAGCCAATTTGTGATTTATTTTGGATGTTGTGTCTTGTAAGGAATGTCACTATGCGGCTATTTATTATATTGCGAAAAAGCTTTGCTAGGTTACTGCCCACACAAATGCCACGGTAATTACTGGAATTGAATTTATCTCCTTTTTTTATATACAGGTGTGAGAGTAAAAAATAATATATAAAAAGTATTAAGCATGTAGTGCAAAAATGAATTACTAATGTAAGTATATAAACTAGAAATAAAAAATAAAATAAAATATGGGATCTATCTCTCTCTCTCTCTCTCTCTCTCTCTCTCTCTCTCCCTCTCTCTCTCTCTCAATTTCAATTCAAAATTGCTTTATTGGCACGACTGTAAATGATACAATATTGCCAAAGTTGGTGTTTTTTCAATGTATGCTTCAGACACGGGTCACGATGAGGCGTTCCCCATAGCGACCCCTAGAGGACGCAGTTCGAAGTTCCCATGAAAGGGAAACGCATTCCAGATGGGAAGCATTCACAGTAAGTTTCCCCATTCAAAACCATCTGTCACAACTCAGCTCCTTCTCCCTCTGCTCTTATTTTAAAAATAAACTGTAAATAAAGAAGCAAAAAAAAAGGAGAAAAAAAGTAATTCACAGAAATAACTATTGGTCCCAAAAACGTATTGTAGCAGAACCATGGCTCAGTAATGGTATCAAATGGTAATACCACGCTACTTTGATATGCATCATACTGAATGATTGACATGGGTGAATCTCATGAAACCTGTCAAGAACATGGGTGGCTCATATTTCACTGTAAAATCAACATATTTTGTCTGAAGAAATTTTTTTTTATTTTGGAATGCTACAATTTTTAATTTTGCATCAAAATTAAATGCATCCCTAATAATTATCAGTACTGTAATTGAAAAAAGAATCACATTACTATTTACTATTATGCAAATAATAATAATAACAACAACAACATTGATTTTATTTTTTTAAACACTGTATTACTGATTTTTTTTTAAGTAATTTTTATTTTAAAACAGTAAAAATACATATCGCAATGAAACGCACACACACACAGAACTCAAAAGCTCAAAAGAAACAGAAAAACAATGACGATAATGAGAGATTTCATGAAAGTAATATCACAAAGAAAAAAGGTCCAAAATGTTTTTATTATATACAACAACAACAACAAAAAAAATGAATGAATTAATTAATTTGTTAGCATAAGTTTTTATTTTTTAAAGCAGAGTCCTATCAAACATCTCTAAAAAAGTTAGAGTTTTAGTTTTCCAATGCAGTTTTAAACGGAGGCTACTGCGGTTTCCTTTTTGAAAACTCGTTATGAATGTAATAGTCTTTCAAAGACAGCTCAGCGCTGGTAGTTTGCTGAATGAACATTTCCACCGCTCGCAGCTATAATTATTTCGGGCCGGGTTTCAAAACCTAGCGCGCTGCCTACTCCGACAACATTTGTAGGTATTTCAGCTGCTGAGTCGGAATGTCTTCAAACGCTGTCTCGCTTCCTTCAAGAAAGAGCAAGTACACTAAAGCCTTAGCCAACGCCCCGCACACTCCTCTCGCGCTCGCTCCAGCTCTGCTGCGCTACAGTCCGACACGCTCAGGAAGACGCTGCGCCAAAGTCGACGGAATAACTCAATAACTGCGCTTTCTTTTTCTCGTCCCGGTGTGTTTTAACAGATTAGTGTTCGTGTGAGTTTGCTGATACGGGCTCTAGGCTTCATAAGAAGGCGTTATTTCATAGGAAAACGTTACAGAATGGCAGAAACCGAGGGAAGTCCGTTTGGAGGCTGTTTGGAGAAACTCAAGAGCTACGTGCGAACTCGGAAAGGAACTATCCTGACCGCTGAAATAGTAAGTTTTAACACGACTGTGACTTTAACTTTACTTACATCTCATTTTCGTACGACGCTTGCACTGTGCCGAGAGAAATAACGTCCGTTACTAAATAAATAAATAAACAAGAAACTGTGGATTAAAATGATCTGTTGTCATGGAGACGCTCCCACTCGCTGAATAAGATTAAGTCACCTGTTGATTCACACACTCGAGCCACGTAGAAAGTTCATTGCGCTTGTTTGTATTTCATACCACAACATATATGGTAAACATTGTGTCTAATAGTGTGTACAGTGTCTGTCAGAGTCTTAACTTTTAACCATAAACCACATACTTTTCACTTTAAGAGCTAAAAATAGATTCGAAGAAAGTGGCATAATTGTCACACAGTTGCATTCAAGCAACTGTGTCCAAAATAACATAAAGCTTGACTAGGATAAAATATGGTTGCGAATATAGTTATAAAACTGCATCACTACATATTAAGTTATGTCTTGTTTTAAGTGTATAGCAGTGCGGCTAAAGGAGTTTTAATGGTGCTGTTGAATGAAATAGCTCCCATTGCAGAGGCATTTGAAACTTCACACTGACACACTAGTGTGTGCTTTTGGGAGGAGGTGGCATGGAATGCAGACCATGTGCTCGATGGTGTGTGTGTGTGTGTGTGTGTGTGTGTGTGTGAGAGAGAGGTCAGAGTTCATGAGGCGTCACCCATCTGCTGGAGCCAGAGACCAGACTGCTGTTCTCTCTGATCACGTCTCTCAGTCCTCAGAAAGAAGTGGTTGTGGGTGATCTTTAAGATATTGGAACCATGGCAAAATGTTTAATGACTGTAACATAACAGGCATTTGAATACCAAATATCTAAAACTAATATGAATATCTATATATCTGTCTGTCTGTCATATGTTCGTTCTGTCGTACATTCTAATGTTTGTTCGTACGTTTATTCATTTGGTCAATCTGTCTGTAGTATGTTTTTGTTTGTGCTTTCATTTTTTTCTGTCTGTCGATCATTCTATCTATTTATAGTTCTGTCTGTCATACATTTGTTTGTTAATTCTGTCTATCATTCTATCTGTTGTTCTGTCTGTCGTCTGTTCGTTTAGTCGTTCGTTCTTTTTTTCAGTAGTTCTGTGTGTGCATTCATACGTTTGTTTATTTGTATCGTTCTATCTGTCTGTGTCTGTCTACCTATTCTTTTGTTTGTTTTGTCTGTATATTCTGTCTGTCTATCTGGTTCTTTCGTTCTGTCATTCTGTCTATCAGTTGATTTTGTTCTGTCTATCTGTCTGTCTGTTTTACATTTGTTTGTTTGTTTGTCTGTGCATTCATTTATTCTGTCTGCTGATCATTCAGTGTTTTGTTCTGTCTGTATGTCTATCGCTCTATCAGTCTGTCTGTTTGTCTGTTGATTGTTTTGTCTATCTGTCTGTCTGTTCTAGCTATTTTTCTGTTTGTCTGCCAGTCTGTGACTGACTTTACTTTTCTAGTTTGAAGTTCATTATGTATATGGAGTTCTTTTGGTTTCTTTCAACTTCCTTCAATTCTAATTCAAACGGCAAGTTCAAATAGATATTTAATGTCAATTTAAAAACTTTCTCAATTCTATTCTAAATGATGCACAGTACTGTAACAAATTACTGAAATTCTTTCTCCGCCACAGCTCATTCTCATACCTCATTCTTACTTAAAACGTGTCTGTCAAGTCATCAGATGACATTCATTCTTTTTGGAGCTTGACAGACCTTGGTCACTATTTGTTTCTGCTTTTGAGTTCGCTGGAAGAAAGCAATGAGACACAAGTATGAATAAATGATGAGACACATTTGTGGTGAACTAACCCTTTAAACTAAGCATAAATAGTCTGTAATAGCTCTCAGTATTGTAAAAAAATAAATAAATAAAATAAAAACATATTAAGCAATAGCAAATTAATAAAATGGATATAAAAAGTTATTGCTAGCAAATTTGTTCAGAGTAAATAATTCAAACCAGAGCTGACAGAGGGACTTTTGTAGACCCATAAACTCACCATGTATTTTCATACAAGACATAAACCATCAGAGAAAACACAGATAAATGCCAGAATGATAAACCGGCCCGGCTCTATCATTTATTATGCCTGAATGAAGCTTTCCTAGTTCACCACATTTCACATGGCCTACTTCCTGTACCCTGTTGAAAAATAACATCAGCATATTGTGTCCTTATCAAAATAATCTGCATTTGTTGCAATGCCTATCATGACATCTGATGCAATAACTACCTAATAACTAACTAACACAGAATACTGTGGCACCATGAGGAATAATAGCGTGTTATATAACTAATTGCTGGTTAAGGCCATGGACATTGGACATCATGCACTCATTTTCAATAGTTCAATTTTGTCATGCAGACACACCCACATCCAAACGTGTTGAGTCACGGGTAAGTAAAACAACACGCCTAGTGGCTTACAGTAAGTAGGTAGCCATGCATGCTGGGACTTTTACTGGGACTTACAGTAGATGAGTGATGTACTGTATAGCTCTCTTATGATTTGTCTGTTTGGACAAAAACAAATGTAAACACATGCAAGAATGTTTGCTCTAGTGTCACTCGAGCAAGCAGTAGCTGTCTTGCCATCACTAAGTGCATTTTTGCCAAATTATCAGTGTTTGGGTGTTGAATATTCCTTGTAGTATACTCACTGTAACTAAGTAGGGACACTGTAACCAATTATGTAAGTACAGTAGGCTGCATGTTTATTTACCATGTTTTGTGCATTACAGTGAATATTTTTTGTGTATGTGCTTTTATGCATTCTTTATTTCTGGTGTTTCCTTATTTATCCATTCACCCTCGTGACCCAGTGCAGCTCGGAGCCCTCAGTAGTGGGTGTTCTTAAAGGGCCAGCGCTGCATCCTTGAATAGAGCTTCATTGTGCGCTGGCTGGAGTTCAGTCTGCCTGTGAGGCTCATAGAGGCAGTTTGTGCCAGTCCCCACAACTCATAAAGCTCTGATACATATGTGCATGAAGGAGGGGTGCCTGATGACATCATGCGGCCCGCTGCGCTCCTCCTTGCTGCCGACAGGCTGGGCGTAATGACTCTGGGATGTAGATTTAATGATTGTTCAATTAGTATGTAGGGCTCTGGAAAGTTGAATGTTTTAGAATAAGATTAAACATGTCGAAATTAAAAATATATTTTCTCAGCTTTACAATTATTTAAAAAAGTCAATGTAAGTTTGTAAAGCTACAGTGAGTTTTAGGCATGTTCATACATACTTTAAAATATAATAATGTTCATAAAGAAATTGGATATAAAAATAAAAAATTGTGTTTGCTTCAATAAAACAAAGTTAGTACATCTATTATTTTTATACATTTTTATAATTTCTTTCAGAATCTTCAAAAAAAGTGAATTCCTAACTTCTCTCTGAATTCCTAAAATCACCTCAGCCGTTTCAGTAAATAGGCTAGTAACATGCCCATTTCCTGATTGACTTTAACCTACTTACAGCAGTTACTCTGAGGAAAACCAAAAACCTAAAGGGTTAGTTCACCCAAAAATGAAAATTGGCTTGTGTTTTACTCACCCTCGAAGCATCCTAGGTGTATATGACTTTCATGCTGATATAGAGCCGGTATCGCTCTCGTACTCGAGTGATATTGCTCATGTATTACTATATTACTATAATATATATATATAAATCTTAGAGAATATACCAAAAGAAAAAAAAGTTACTCTTAAAGGGATAGTTCACCCAAAAATGAAAATGTGATGTTTATCTGCTTACCCCCAGGGCATCCAAGATGTAGGTGACTTTGTTTCTTCA